AAGACAAATAACTTACCCCACCAGGTGTGTGTGTGTCTGTGAGAGAGAGAGAGAGAGAAAGAGAGAGACCGCGTATACATGCTGCTAGACTTAAACTAATCAACAAAAGCTAATCACGACTGTCATTAAACCCCAAAACGTGAAAAGGAGCGTCCTTCCACAAACGATAAACATTTCCTGATGTTTCTTGATGATCCACTGGTTTCAGAAAGTTAGGCATAGTGAGTAAAAACTGCAAGTAGTATTCTGGAACACAGAATGGAACATGCATAAATTAGAACACAGCACAATTGTCACACACACACACATAACTTCTGATACTATATATGTTTGTATATATATATATATATATATATATATATATATATATATATATATCGTATAGTGGTTTTAAATTCATGTAAATAAAATAGCCGAAATAGAACAGAAACTGTCTCTCTCTTACAACTATGAGGAGAAATACAAAAAAATATATAACCAAAAATATATTTCTACAGATTTATCACACTGGACTGTTACCTTTTTCATTTTATAATAACAATTATATAACTGAGTAAACATGTAGACTATAGAAAATACTCATCAGCATGTTTAAAATAGTATCACACTCTATAGAACAACATACTGTAACATACCTGCATTTATGACAAAGGACAACAGTTCATCAGTTCATGACTTGTGGACAACGTTAATGTTAACTGCTATACCGGAGACATTTTTACTGGCAATAAAACACATAAAAAACGTAGAGTTAACTTAATGAAAACATGACAAATATAATCTAAGACAAATAATATACAACTAAATAAAGCCAGCTCAACTCTTTTGTACTTTTAAAGTTAGTTAACATTATATTGTCCACGGACATTCACGGACCCGTTACCTAGTAGTGAATCCTCCGTTGCTATGACGATTACCCATAGTCCTTTGCGTCTTCTATTCAGTGCAGGTACAAATTTCTAACAGCAGGTGGCGTAGTTTTCCCATTTAGCGGGATTTAACCTGAACCTTTTCAACTATGTTACACCAGCTGTATTTTTTAATTATTGAGTTGTGTTAACATAATTACCTTGCTATTACTGACAGTAGAGTCCTGAATATAATACATTATTTCAGACTTTAAATTTTGTTGTACTTTTACTGTTAGGCTGTGGTTATAACATTTATTCACAGAACCATAAATTAACACAAAAAAAACAGTCAATGGCTAACGGTGTGAAACAATTACTTTAAGAAAACTAAAAGATTTCAAGTTAGAAGCAATGTAATCATGTCAATGTTATTTCACATTAAATATTTCCGTTATTTATTTTGAATGTTCTGTTTTGTTCATGCCAAAGAGTATGTGCTTTTATTTACAAGACATAACCAAATAAGCTGTTCAGTTCTTTTGTCAGCAGTAACATGGATTTTCTCTCACTGATGTTGATTCTCTTGTTGAATTGAGCTGACATGACTTTAGGATTTAGACAACTAATTTTCTCATTGTCTGGATTACAGTAGTAGATAGCAGCAGATGGCAAGGCGGGGCAATCCCTGGTTGCCATTGTGCTGACACCTCAATCCTTCCACTTCATCTGATTTGGGGGTGCCCACAATTGCTGAAGTGAAACTACAAAGCTTAACCATGCATTCGTGTCCATTCTCCACAGCTACTTGAAATCAGATAGACATGCTGAGTGCAGAGTAACAGAAGCTTACGATGGTATAACAGAGCATGCAGGAGATTATCCTGCCAGATCATACTGCCTTCATTCATTAGAAATTGGTAATTTAGTAATTTATAAAGTTTACTTTCAGAATGCTTGTTCTTTTATGCCAAAATTGTCTATTGTTTTATCATAGTCATAAAAGTAAATTAATTTAGCTCATAATTAGGTAACAAAAGAAGAAAAAAAATACAAAAACCCCTCTCAATTACGACATACATATGCTTTTGGAACTTGAGGCACCTGCTCCATGTGCATGAAGAGGGAGCCAACAACTTTAAAAGTTAATCTCACTCTATCTGTCATTAATGGAGATTGTATAAAAAAAAGCTGCTTAGACTGATACAAAGATTTGTGTACAGCGTTCAAGGGCATCCTCTGAAGGACAAAATAAATCATGTCTTACACATGTGTGCCTGCTGCGGTGCATGTGCCTTTTTAATGTTTGATGCACTGCAGCTGACGACAGGGAATAGTACTTGAAACTTGTAATATGTAGAAAGATGACGCCACTGTTAACTAATCAACAGCTGATCTGCCAAGCAACTGAGCTAGAGTTTTACTGGTGACGTGTGTTCATATTCACAATCACAGAGTAGGTTTAGATGGTGTTTTGAATGCAAATGTATACTGCCACCAAAGTTTAATGTAAATGCAAATGCAACGTGGACCGCAGTCTAGACTGTCTAGTGTGCATAAACTTCCCAAACTTTGTTTATTATGTCAAAGTTGCGAAATTAAATCGTATCACAAGTAGTTATTAAAAGGTGCATTTGAGACATTCGGATGCCACCTTTGAACTACTGTAACTCTATTCAACTGTTTTAACTAGTTTCACATCCAGTGGATACAAGGTACTGTAGGTCACCTGCCGGGCCTGTTGGCCACAAGTGTGTATATCTGTATAAACTCTGGCAGGTTAATTTGCTTTGAGCATGTATGCTACAGTCAAATTGCTGTTTGTTGTACACAGGGAAAAGCGAGGGAAGTTTGTGTGCCTCTTTAAAACACAAACACTGCTTTACATAACAATAAATGTAAAGTGCTTTACATAAAGCGACGACATGCATTACAACAACACTCTGAACTAAAGGTACAAACACAATAAATGACTGTTGCACCTGCAGTCTATTATAACTTGCCGCAATAGCGATGCTGGTATTGTTTTACACTTGTGTCTGTCTGTGTCGTCATGGCAAAATGTCCTGGAGACACCTACTGTGGGGGGGGAACTACCCCAGAAGTGGTTTTGAGTACTTTGTCAGGTGTTTATTTGTCTGTGGACAGATTCTGTCATCACGACAGCGTCACAACCGTGAAAGATGCAGTCACAAAACTTTACAGGTGTGTAGGTAAGATCATAACAAATGCAAAATTCAAAGATGGTTGTGGGCCGAGTAAAGACACTGAAAGTAGGTGTTAGGAAGTGGAGAAGTGGCCATCGGTCCCCCCAACTTTACATCCCTGGCCAGATTTGCCGTTGCAGCTGGTGTGATCCCATCTGGTCTCTAGTTTCACTTGTGATGACGTACTGTATTACTGAGGTGCATAATACAAAGCCAATTCAATGCATACTATTAACATACATTCCTACACATAACATATCTGTACCTACACCACTGATTCAAACAAGTGCAAATGTCTCTGTGTGCATAGCCCTTGTACTGCCTCTATTGTAATCCCTTTATACGCCAATTTAGGCCAACAGAAGGAGCTCTGTTTTCCATACTACATTGTTTTCCTAAAATCAAGAGTGACTTAAAGGGATTACAGAAATCATTCTGTGGACACAGCAGGCAGTCATATTGTATCTTTACTGTCTTTGCTACATTTGATCTGATTAACAAGCTGAACTAGATGCCATTAGCTATATGCTATAATGACTTCAGCCATAGCTTGAGAGACCTGTACAAAAAATAACGAGCACAGGTGTTGATGTTTCTGATATTTCTTTGTGGTCATCCACTGTGTAATATCCTAAAGTGAAACGAAATGAGAATATTAGGATTTGTGCTATGCAATAACAGTTAATTGCACATGGGTTACTAATTAGGCAGACGGAGGCTCCTGACCATATGGCAGAAGAATGGAATTAAGGGTCAACTTGTTGCTGCTCTTTCAATCTCTGCACTAATTGTTTTTCTTCTCATCACCCCCTTTCGTGATCCCCCTCCAAGAGGGAGACCACATTTCATGGAGGGTTAAGCTACTTTGCTGATTTGGGGTGGCTGTATTCTCCTGAAGCCATTAGTGTCATTGCCAGGCCAATATGACGCAGAAGGAATGTCTTAAGTGAGGTGTAAGACTACACTGTTAACCGGATGGTGAGGAACATACATACATGTGTACTATGAGTGGAACACATAGTCCATATTGCTATGTTTTGTGTCTTGTTGATTAGTTAATTGGTTTACTTGTCGTAAATAACTTCTAAAACCTCAAGTCAATACTGTGGGCAGTAGTAGAATACTCTTTATGATTTTGGCCAGCAGACTTACAATAGGCTAGACAACCATAGAAGCATCTTTGCTTGTAGACTTACTTTATCTTTTCTTATAATAACTGTATGTTTACAATGAATTAGCTGATTTGAGAAAGGCACTATAAGTAAACAATTAACAGGGTAGAATTTAAACAAATTGCTCTCTGGAGACTCTGAACTTTACCATGCAGTCAGCAGCCACATTTATGAAACCATTTAAAAGTAGTGTGAGTGAGAAGTAAAATGTTTTCTTTTTCTTTTTCAGTGGTCTCGTTTGTAGATTTGAGTTGTGCCTGTAAGTGGAGTGACTGATTGATTTACCCTTATTGACAGTAAAGATTAAGAAGATGACAAATCAGCATTTGCTTACACAGCGCCATGGTGCTAATCTCCTTGTCTTCCTTCAGAAAGCCCCCAGACAGCTCGCACTCATTCTGGCCGGGAGAAAGAAAGAAGAAGTAAAGAAGTGACTCTGTTGACCCCCCCCAGTACATCAGAAACGACCAGAGAACGGACAACAGCACTGGATCGATATCATCGAGCATTCCGGGAGTAACTCTCTGATGACCTCTGAAGAAATTAGGCTTTAATTACAAGCTTTCATGCAAATAACTGCAATTTTGTGTTTTAGGGGACTGCCATGTGTCAACACTTCACATGAAGGATGTTTTGATCCAGCCAGTCAACTACACAAAAAAATACTTTATAATCTTTTGTTTTCTTCTTTCTATTTTCCGAGTAATCTTCTATTTGTCTAAACACTGTTTATTAGGCAAAGTTTAGACATTAGAAGATATCTCAAAATGGAGGACCACATGACCAAAATGAACATGTTTTCTTCTGACATGTCAAATGACTTCACTGATGGATCTCAAGCAGGTGAGCCAATGCTTGTTGTAACATGGAACTTTTTTAATATAAAAGATCTAAGTGTGCACAATGACAACTAAAGAAAAAGCTTAAAATATCTTAAAATATAAATATTTTTCTGTCCAGCAGATAAAAGAGTAATGCTATTGATAATAGTTGTGTTTATTGCATGTATAGTTAAAATAATGTCTAAAAAGAAAAAGAAAAAAAACTATCTGTACAATTAAGACGTTTGTTGAGCCTTAAAAGGATGAGAAAAATGTTGATTATTTATTTCTGCTATCTGTCCTCTATAGAAATAAGTTCAGTCCCTGGTAGAGCACATGGCCAAGGTCTGCTATGTAAAGTGTGTTCTGATTCAAGCAGTGGTAAACACTATGGGATCTATGCCTGCAACGGCTGCAGTGGCTTCTTCAAGCGCAGTGTGAGACGAAGACTCATCTACAGGTGAGCTGGATTTTTATCTAATAGGGCAGTCACAATTACAATTAGTTTAATGGAGAAATACAACTTGTGTAACAAGAAATTCTTCGTATTTAAACTTTTAAGATTTTTTTTTTTTGTCAATATCACAGGTGTCAAGCTGGATCAAGCAGGTGCCCCGTTGACAAGGCCCATCGGAACCAATGCCAAGCTTGTCGACTAAAGAAGTGTCTCCAAGCTGGCATGAACAAAGATGGTGAGAAAAATCTCAATAACTTGACAGTGGAAAGTATATTATATGTGCATATATAATCTCTGTCATTGTACAATGTTTTCAGCCGATATATTATTTACTTGTCCTTTTGGCAGCTGTGCAGAATGAGCGACAGCCTCGAAGCACAGCACATGTCAGTCTAGACTCCATAGATGTGGACACTAAAAAGGAGCACCTGGCCACCACAAGGGAGCTCACCTCCTCCGCCCCCGACTCATCAGTCATCTGCAAACCTCTGGTCACCACCTCTGCCGCCGTACAGCCCCACAGCAACCTCAATAACTACCACCGCTTTATGGTCAGCCTGCTTACTGCAGAAACCTGTGCAAAACTGGAGCCCGAGGATGGTGAGATCATAAGACATACATTAACTTATACAACAAGTACCCACTTCTATGTAAAAATACACTGTATGATTTGCTTTAGATGTCCGTGATAAGTAGAGTTTGCTTTTAGGATTATACAGTAAGTCACAAAAATGTAGAATTTTATTTTCTAAATTGTAATGATTCATTTAAACGTAATAATATAAGATAAGATAGATAAGATAAGATAAGATTATCCTTTATTCGTCCCACAGCGGGGAAATTTGCAGGCTTATAGCAGCAAAGTGGATCGTGCAACAAGAGACATCAGTAGAAAACAGAACAAAATACTAAAACAAAACAAACAAAACACAATAGATCATCAAACAGTAAAGGTACAATAAATAAATGAACTGTAAAAAACAACAAAAGCTAAAAATACAATATAGTACTCCTATTAGCCTAAACATTTGTGTGACTCTCTTTTTAATGCACAGTGGAGGAGAATATTGATGTGACAACCAATGATTCAGAGAGAGATCGGACTCCCTCTGACTGCCGTCTGTCCCCATACATGTCCAGCTGTCCAGAGAGTATATATGAGACATCGGCACGACTCCTCTTCGTGTCTGTGAAGTGGGCAAAAAATCTGCCTGTTTTTGCTCACTTGCCATTTCGAGACCAGGTGAGACTGTCCGACACTTCTTTGTATATTCACCGAACCGATTTACGTAAATCGTGTGTGAGAGTGATAACATTAATTTCTGTGACCTCCTCAGGTGATTCTCCTTGAGGAAGCTTGGAGTGAGATGTTCCTCTTGTGTGCGATCCAGTGGTCCCTGCCCATGGACAGCTGTCCTCTTCTGTCTCTGCCAGATCTCTCTCCCACACAGAAGGCCAAGATCAGCCTCCCCACAGCTGACCTGCACATCCTGGAAGAGGTCTTTAATCGCTTTAAGGCCCTGGCAGTTAACCCTACTGAGTTTGCCTGCATGAAAGCCATTGTACTGTTCAAGCCAGGTGAGAAGTTAATCCTCCAGCAATATGCATTTGTTACTGAATGGACATTGTAACTAATGTCATGCTGTTTGACTTGCAGAGACACGCAGCCTCAAAGACCCAGAGCAGGTGGAGAATCTGCAGGACCAGTCACAGGTGTTGTTAGGTCAGCACATCCATTCACTATACCCCAGCCAAAGTGCCAGGTAAGCCTGACTCTCGCTCTGATTGACTACAAAGATCATGAAACATAAAAACATCACACAGGTTTGTTACATACAAGCTTAAACAGAAACAGGAAGTTCACTCTCCTTTGTTCTCGTCCATCAAGGTTTGGGAGACTTTTACTTCTGCTGCCGTCCCTCCACTATGTGAGCTCTGAGAAAATAGCGCAGCTGTTCTTTCGCACAACCATTGGCAGCACACCCATGGAGAAGCTGCTGTGTGACATGTTCAAAAACTAAGACACTAAGTAAACAAGAACACAGGAAAGACAAATGAAACATGCTAGGAAAACGCCATAAACCAACCCTCAAGCAACATGTTTTCTGGTTGTTTGTTTCCCATATTGTGGTTATGACTTCTTTCAAATTCATTACAGTGTCTGGCATTCTTATTAAAGCTATACAAGAACCTTTCTTTTTGTGTTGATTTTGGCAGTCCCTGTGGACAATAGTGGTAGTGTTTCCGAGCACCTCTCATTTTACTGCAGCTGGGTCTGACAGTCTGCTACTCATAGTCCTGGTTCTGATTTAGCGCTGCAGCCAAAGATGCTGCTGTGAAAGATTTAGCAGCTCGGGGCTGCACAGTGAAATATCGGACCTGTACGCCATGAAGTTTAAAGCCACTGCTGAGGACATCACCGGAGAATATCCATCAATCCATGGTGCTTCCAGCAGCGTGATGTCAGTGTTGGCTCCCAGCAAGTACAGGAGGAGCAACGAGGCGAAGCTCTGCTCCTGGCCGTAGGAGGAGACGCTGCTGCCGGGCGCTGAGCTCTCCTCCCGTCCGCCAGAGCTTCCAACTGCAGGTAGATGGCAGCAGCAAAGCCAGATCTGGGTCGGTCGGCGTGGGATGGTTGCAACTGGAGGCCACGCTGGAGACTGAGTTTCTAGTGAACCTGCATGATTACAACAAACAGAAACAGAAGAGAACACATTACACAAGACATATTGCAAAAAGATACAAAAAACAGACACTATACAGATGATATGATCATTTTATTAATATGATTTAGAGCCTGACCATCACATTATAATGGCTATTGGCCAATTCTAGATGTTTGAGGTAATTTATAGACCAAAGAGAGAGAGAGAGAGAGAGAGAGAGAGAACACTGTTAACTGCCTTACTCACATATCTTGGTCACAATTTTGTGTTCCTTATCAAAACTCTTAAACATCGATATTTGTCCCAAAAACCCTATACTGGTCTGGATCTATTATGATTTGTCTCTTGACTACTATTTATTAAGGCTACAGCGTGTACTTAATGACAGGATCACTGGTTTTCTTCCATCCTTGGGGACCTTTCCATGGTGTCAGATGAAAAAATTAATACATCTGACTGTAAAAGCCAGTACAGTAACATCTGAATGTAAACATATCTGAAACGGGAGACCATGAAAGAAACAGGTTTATCAATGTGGGGCTACAGTATGTCCTGGAATGTAAACTGCAGTAGATCTACAGCAACGTTAGGTGGCGGTAATGAGCATAATTACTGACGAATAGACGAAACTGCACACTCCGGTACAGTAGGTGGCGACCCGCCATTCAAATTTAAAGAAGAAGAAGAAGAGGCGTCAGTAAACAGAGAAGAAGAGCTGGAGCAAAAACACGGAAGAACTTCACGTTAGCTAGCATAGTGAGCTAAAGCATCCTGCATTTTAGTAACAGTACATACTTTGTTTACTTCTACAGGGTTTGGCTGATATCATGTACTGATAGTTAACATGAAGTGGCCTTAAATAAGAAATAGCAGTTGTTTTACCCAACAATGTTTAGCAAGTCGTATCAGCTGCTCCCTCAGAAGGACACCACCAGTCCGAGGACTCCTGGCTTGTTTGTGGACACTGACAGCTTCACACAGCGCGGCTACTACCAAGGCTTTTCTTTTGACAACATCCCCAATGTTCCTGTTAACAACTTCACCGGTAAGTACCTAACATTAGTTATGGTAGCTCTCTTTGTGTGGGGTCAAGAGAGCTATTATAATGTAATATATGTCTGTGAGGGGGAAGACAACTATCTAACAAACTAATAAATATTCTAATTAAAGCAATAAGAGCTCTTTAGCTATTTTACTGTCTAAATATGAGATTTGTTGGTAGTATTAGTGCGATTAGTTAATCGTGTTATTTGTGTCAACGTTCCCTTTAACTCTATTGTCCTCAAAGGAAACCTTCAGGTAAAATACAATACACACATGATCAAAAATAAAGTATATATAATAAATGTATGTACAACATATGCCACACTACATAGCATTGCAAATTAACTTATTAAAAGGTTGGTGGACTTGCATGAGACAAATGAAAATAACAACATACGACATATACTGTAGTTAAGTTCCTAGGATGAGTCAAGCTCTAAAACACTAGATCCTACAAATCCCATAATGCATTATCATGTTTCCTGAAGCCCTTCCTGGTAAAATCCCATCTTTCAAACCCCACACACCCAGTTTGTAGTGCAGGATTTGTAGTAGTCTCTAATCCCAAGTGGGGAGCTCCCCTTAGAGCCACAGATAAGATGACATCATAAACTGAAAATACCTTAAGGACGAAGACTTTTTTGTTTATTTTCTTTTAAGATACCTCCCAAGGATGGCTGTCCTGGATCTGCAACCTGATTGTCATCTTCCTTGTCTACATCTTCACCTTCATAACATTTCCTATAACAGGATGGTTTGTACTGAAAGTAAGGTGAAACCTCTCATCAGTTATTCCTACAGCACGTCTACTAAACTTGTCAGAGAATAAAAACAACCAACATCTTGTTCGTAGTCTGTGCCTAACTACCAGAGGGTAGTCGTGTTTCGTCTGGGTCGAGTTGGTCCTCCCAAGGGCCCTGGTATTGTCCTTGTGCTGCCCCTCATTGACCAGTGGCAGAGAGTAGACCTGCGCACCCGTGCTTTCAACATCCCTCCCTGCCAGGTAGACCACTACACCGAGTTCATCACTAGTTACCGAAGCAGTTGTGATGGACAACTTGTTTAAGTGCTTACTTTCTGAAACATTGACAAATGCAAGAAAAAAACCTGTGATCAGGAGTGGTTTCCCTCACATTGTAGAAGTCTTAACCAAACAAACCATTCAAATATAATTAAAGAATAGGTTCACAATTTTCAAGTCTAGTCAGTCATGTTGCCTTCAGATAAACATCTGAACAGAGGACTGTGGAGTTTGTTCCCCATCACGTCCATTAAAAAGTGCATTTGACGTGAATCTCTTAATGACCTGTATAAACAGGTGGAATGATTACAGCAAGCAAAATCTGTTTTTATTTATTTTGTCCTGCAGGTGGCACTCTTGCTTCATGTGCTGAATGTTTTGTCTTTAGTCTCATATCTTTGCCCCACATAAACTTCAGAATTAAATGCCGATGGCAATGTTTTGTTTTTTAAGCCTAAGCATTTATCACAGTTATGAGCTGTTTATTTTTTGGATAGCAACTACAGAACCATCACTGAAATTCGTTACTTCATTTCAATACAGTTAACGTGTCACAGACTCTCCTTCTGCACGGCCAGCATTTGTCAATTGTAGTCAGCCTTACACATTAAATATTTCGTAGTCAATACCAGCTTTAAGAATGAAGAGGAGATGTCTCTATATTTTTGACAAATGTCATATGACCAGTCGTGGTTGTCCAGCCCGTATAAAACATACTTCTGCTGCTGTAGGTGATTACTCTGGATGACGGCATGCTCTCAGTGGGAGCAGACATCCAGTTCAGGATCTGGAGCCCCGTCAAGTCAGTGCTATCAGTCCAGGACCTGAATGCCTCAACCAGGATGACTGCACAGAAGGCTTTGACCTACAGCCTGGCTAAGAAGACTGTCAGGGAGATCCAGACTGGGAGAGTTAAACTTGGAGACTATCTCGTGGTGAGACAACACTGGACCTATTCTCTGCTGGCTTTTCACTGTGTCATGACAAACTTACATCCTTTTATTGCTCTGTACAGATGGACATAAATGAGATGACTCGACCCTGGGGGCTGGAGGTGGACAGGGTAGAGCTTACCCTGGGCTCTCTACTAAAAGCACCCGGGGAAGGCCCCTCTGGACCCCTCATCATGCCACCTTCTATGCCTGGAGTTGAAGGCCTCACTGGCTCCATTCAGCAGTTGGCCATGCAATTTCTGAGCCAGAGTGGCATTTTACAGCCTCAAAAAGGTATGGCCTCACACTAACATGTTTTTGTACGTGTACCCAGTCTGATAATGGAAGTAATTGCAACAACTACTTCCTAGGCAGTGCACGCACACAGACAGAAATTACTTTTTTTCTTCAACTAAGCCTACATCTTTTCTCTTCAGACGACAGCATAACGTTTACAGATGAGCTCAGCAGTGCCCCTCAGGAAGTTGTGGCCACATCAGGTTCTGTTGACGAGCTGCTCGGCCGGGTCCAGCTCGTGCTCTCAGAAACTTTGGTCCACCAGGTTGGGGCCTGCTTTCAGTTTAACATAAGCTCAGAAGATGGACAGCATCACAGTTACTATGTGGATTTGAGCCAAGGTGATACTTTAAATTTATTACTTTAAATATGCCCCAATTATCAGAGCATTTTCATTCAGATAAGTCCAGCAGCTCAATGCAAGTTGTGCTAAATCTGTCGAATAAAGCTGTTTCAGTTAAATAGAAAACAAAAGTAAAGTGAGATATTAATATTAAGTATCTCCATTGCTCTGTGTGTGTGTTCTGTAGGAAGCGGTGCAGCTGGAGCAGGGTACTTGTTCAGAGAGCCAGATGTGACACTGAGCTTAAGTGACAGCGACCTTCTGGCCATGTTCCAGGGCGGGCTACAACCATTTGCTGCCTACACCAGTGGCAGACTCCAACTCCAGGGAGACATTAAGACTGCCATGAAGCTGGAAGAACTCATAAAGCTACTTAAAGATAGGGTTGGAAATGTTGAGAAATTAGAAAGTGTACAATAGATTTTAAAAAGGATCCAGCAGAAAACCCAGCCCAGTGTTGGCAACAATGAAGGCAGCTAGCAGCACCAGCGCCAAAAGTCACTAGAAAGTCAGCAAGAATGACAGCCTGTCCCTTCAGCCCTCCCTCTATAGCGTCTCCACCAAAATGATCAGAATGAACATTAACAACATTTACTCGTTTGTTTGGCCCGGATAAAATGATTGGATGGGCTTATTACAGTGCTGGTGGGATGTGAAGAGAATTTCAACAAATATAACAAACTTTAATAATAATAATAATAATCAAACAAAATGGACTTTAACATGGTTACATTCCGAATAACCAGAGGAATTTCCCTTACAATTACCAACCCTGGCTTTAAGAAATGAAGTTCATTGCATTTGTATGTGTATTTATTAAATCTTTAACTTTAGAGGCACAGTATTGTATATGTTGATTACATTCGTTATAAACAGAGTTTCTGTTATGGCCTTGTCTTTCTTCACAAATCAAAGCAAATGCTTGTTTACAAAGACAACAGACCTTCTGAAGGTCTTTAAGCCTAATGCGAGTTGGAATAGTCTCACTTTTTACATACAGATGATTGCAGGGTGCTATGACACAAGATTACATATTCAGTAAGTAATACTGAATTCACTGTGGTGTTCAACTGGAGAGCCTTGATCAGCAAAGTGGGGCAGACTATTTAGACCAGCCTACTTGTTTTGCACCAGATGTCCCTGGGAGAGCCAGCGGAGCTGTTGAAGGTAGAGCAGAGCGAGAATTATTGTTGTCGGGATGGCTGGGTGGAGTGTGTGGCGCAGCCCCGTGACGGTGCCCCTGTCCTGGATAGGAGAGCTGACAACAGGTGTGCGCTGCGGCAGCAGTATGCCGGTGGTCAGACAGGTGTACTCGGAGAGCAGTAGCATTGTCAAGCCTTTCAGTGAGATTCCTGGACTGTGGAAAAATGGGGTGGCCAACTTGTACAATTTTTGGAAACTGGATGGCTTCAAAAACCTTCACCGCATCATGTTACAGAACTTCAACACTTTTGGACCCATTTACAGGTACGGAAGGCAAAGCAGTTTGCATAATTCTTAAATAAAATGATTCCACATGACACTTATCAAGGTCTATCTTAAGTAAACAGTAACATAAGTAGACAAAACAAATGAGTTCAGTTTAAAATGAATGTTCTGGCCCAAATATAAACATTTTTGTGTTTAAGTATTTGTGACAGAAAAATCACAAGGTCATGTTTTCTGAAAACAAACATCTGATATGGTATTTCCAACCATTTTTTTCCCTCTCTCTCTGTATGTCAGAGAAAAAGTAGGTTACTATGAAAGTGTGAATATCATCAATCCTGAAGATGCTGCTATCCTGTTCAAAGCGGAGGGCCATTATCCTAAAAGGCTGAGAGTTGAAGCCTGGACGTCATACAGAGACTACAGGAATCTCAAATATGGAGTTCTATTAAAGTATGTGCTCTAATTATCCCGATCTACCTGTATAAACTCTGTTTTACCAAAATTTCGACACTTTCGTGGAACCAAGGGTTTAACTCAGTGTTGCTGTGACTATTAATTTCCTCGCTAGTTGAAGTTAACGGACAATCTTCTCACAGGGATGGAGAAGACTGGAGATCAAACCGTGTGATTCTCAACAAGGAGGTGATTTCCCCAAAGGTGCTGGAAAACTTTGTGCCTTTGCTGGACGAAGTGGGGCAGGATTTTGTGGCCAGAATTCACAAAAAGATCGAGCGAAATGGCCAGAACAAATGGACCACTGACCTTTCTCAAGAGCTCTTTAAATATGCACTGGAGTGTAAGTCTGACTTTAACCACTTTTATCTCCATGTAGAATTTATCTCACTCAGTGTCTCGGCAAGTGCCCTTTTTTTTCACCCATATTATTGCTCATCTTTGTCTCATGTTTGCTCTGTTCTTCACAGCGGTGAGCTCAGTGCTGTATGGGGAGCGTCTGGGTTTGATGCTGGACTACATCGATCCTGAAGCGCAACATTTCATTGACTGCATCACCCTCATGTTCAAGACTACCTCACCCATGCTGTACATACCTCCCGCTCTGTTGAGGCGGATTGGAGCGAAGGTGTGGCGGGACCATGTGCAGGCTTGGGATGGCATCTTCAACCAAGGTAGGACTCAGAAAACAAACGGGATCAACATTTGAAGTATTGCTTTCACTGGCAAGAGGAGGTTCTCACTTCTGTTATTTGAAAATCACATTTTCTATTTCTTATGTTTGCACTGTATGTGGAGCAGTTTATTACTTCGTTGATATTGTTTTGGTGCATCAGCGGACCGCTGCATTCACAACATCTACAGGCAGTTGCGTCAGGAAGACTGCATTCCAAAGAAATACCCAGGAGTCCTGGCTAGCCTGCTCATGCTGGACAAGCTGTCCATTGAAGACATTAAGGCCAGTGTCACTGAGCTAATGGCTGGAGGAGTGGATACTGTAAGAAAAACAATATTTATCTTCCAGAATGTGACTTCTTTTTGGCTCTCTGCATAATTCTGTTTGTGTGTTTCAGACTTCTATAACGCTGTTGTGGACATTGTATGAACTAGCTCGGCACCCCAACCTCCAGGAGGAGCTGAGAGCGGAGGTGGCTGCAGCCCGGGTTGAAAGCCAGGGAGACATGCTGGAGATGCTGAAGCGGATTCCACTGGTCAAAGGAGCTCTGAAGGAAACACTGAGGTGTAAATAAATGGCAGTGCCAGATATGTGATGATACTGTAGAGATGTTAGATGTCAGTTGTTTAGGGAATAGTTTCCACTAATTCATAGTTGCTCTGAAAATGGCCTTTTGTAGTTTTGTCCTTTAATGTAGATTTTTCCCTGTGATCCCTCAGGTTACACCCAGTTGCAGTGAGCTTGCAACGATACATAACACAAGATATCATTATTCAAAACTACCACATCCCGGCTGGGGTGAGAGGCACTTAAAAATATAAATTGTTACAAAAACTAAGCAAGTGTTAAGCATAGTGTTGGGGCCCTGTTCACCTTTTTGTGTTTGTGTTTAGACTCTGGTTCAGCTAGGACTGTATGCAATGGGCAGAGACCCCAAAGTGTTTTTTCGTCCGGAGCAGTATCAGCCCTCCCGCTGGCTGAGGACAGAGGCCCACTACTTCAGGAGCCTGGGCTTCGGCTTCGGCCCCCGTCAGTGTTTAGGACGCAGAATAGCCGAGGCAGAGATGCAACTCTTCCTTATCCATGTGAGATATATAGAGAATAAAGTACTCGCTGTACTCATTTACACTGCATATTAACTGTGTGCATTCTCTTCTGTCTTTGCAGATGCTTGAGAACTTCCGAGTGGAGAAACAGCGCCATGTGGAAGTGCAGAGTACCTTTGAGCTCATTCTCTTACCAGAGAAACCTATAATATTGACTTTGAAGCCTCTACAGGCTAGTCGGTAACGCCAAGTTTGAGAGACAATCTGTGGTGCATGGTAAGCAAGGCTCATTTCTAGGAAGGGCTTCACAAAGCACCACAATATAAACACTAAACTAGATCTTCCAACCTTAGATGTTGATGGACAGCAAGAAAACATTTGGAAAGAAAAAGCCCAAAACATGCATTTACTGAGGTAACAAATGACCTCAGTAAATCAATAACCAGTGAATAGTAACTCTGTACCGTTTCATATTCGGAGAGTAATTTTAACAATGATGAAAATGTGTAGCGCGTGTACAATATAATAAAAAACCTGGAATGTACAGATGCTTTATTCCACGTGTATAACGGCGACATATTCTAAACTATATAACAGTGATGAATAAAATAATACAACTGATTCAAAACATGTCTTGTAATATATCATTTTATTACATATTTTAATATCACCATATATTAATATTAAATCAAAGAAAACTGTGTGTGTGTGCGTTTAGTCTGGGTAAATAGTTCAGTTGTTACTTTATGTTAATTTACAGGCGTCTGCTTTGCTGATATAACGGTTCTGATACAGATCTCTGTAAGAAGCAGATAAAATAATTACACACAGCACCGTTTGCGTTATGTAAAACGAAGGCTAACTGCACTCAACTGACCGAAGGAACATTATGTCGGATTGCGGTGCATGTCCGGACAAAGCTATGCCTGTGCTCACTCAGCTTGGTCAACATTTCTTGTTTCTATCTCCCCCATAATTTAGAGGGGAGGGGGGGGGGGGCACAAGTACACAGGATATAATCCAAACATACATTTCAAGCTATTATTCATAGAAAGAAGCATTCCCCATTGTGATAGAGATGGGTATACCAGTAAGTGTAGAGCGGACATTGTAGTTAACTGTTCACCTTTTCCTGCTGTTTTACTGTGACCTCCAAAGTTGCCATCTCTGCAAAGTGACTGTGGTGGTGCTGCAGATTCTCCGGTTGCAGCTGGTGAACTCTCTGAAGTTGTAGTAGCTCCTTCTCACTGTCATTCTTCTGCACAACACACACACAACATGTTCGTAGAGTAGAAAACTATACAAACACTCGGTACACACCGACATGAATGAATTAAGTTGTATTTGTGTAACGTGTGTATGGGTATCTTCTAACCTTGATCAAGTCATTCTGCAGCTGCTGGATCCTGCCCCTTTGAGAGGCAGCCTTACTGGTCTCACTGGCTAGCTTGAATTTCAGAGAGGCTTAAAATAAAACAGGAATACAAATCACACACTGGTGGAACATACATCGCGGAAATAATACATGTGCTAGTTATTTGTGCAGATTTTTATAGGTGTAGGAATGTGCTGTTTTTTTCTGGCTACATCCATATGTCTGAATCAGAAAGTGGCATTTGAGTTTGTCAAAGCTGAGACTCATCTGTAAAGAATAAAAAGTTAAGTTTCAATGACTTTTCAAATTTAGAATGATTATTATGTCAGTTCTGAGGCTTAGACATTTGAACTATGATGATTAAAACAGCCATCAATAAAGCTTTTGAAATGCAATGGAGTGTCTGTTGGATGGGACTCAAATCTGGTCCCTTTACTCTGATGCCAGCAGCGGGACCTTCAGGAACATCCTTTCACTGAGGGTCACAGACTGTCCTTCAGGAGATAAGGGAGGCACTACCCACAGAGCTTATCAGGGTCCGTGGCCTAAATGAGCTGCCTTATCACAAAACGGCACAGTCTGCTTGGGAATAGACACTCGCAAGGATTAGCAAACACACAGTGAGCAACCTTTCACCATCACTACTTCATACCGAGTCTGCAGAACTTTTGGTGAAAGAATGTAAATCCTTACTTTTGCATGGTTTTGGTTCAGGCACATTTTGGATGTAGATGAATGGCTAATATGTGGTTGAGTAACTAAACCACAGTGCTATGCTGTAGCTTACCTATACGGTCAGCAATCTCAGCCTTGGTCATGACGTCAATGTCTGTGTCATACAGCAGGTCTCGGCCGAGGTCCTGCTGCAGAGACAGATCAGTGCGGAGCTGACCGTTTTCTGCCTCCAACGTCACCACCCGTGTCCTCAGTGCTATGATGTCTTCAGCCATCCTACTCATGGCTGAACGATAGTTTTCCATCTCCTAATGGAGAGAACGACAGTTGCTTGAAATGGGATATTTGTTAATGTAATTAATAATAATAAAAGACTAACCTAATCCCTTTAATAATCTTTGAAAGCGAACCCCCTGTAGAGCTCATAGTTAAACTGTACCAGTTTGAGTTTCATGTGTGCCATCCAGGATGGTGTTACGGGAGAAGATGACTAAAAACTATCCACATAATTGAATACCTCAAGGTTATTTATAATCAAATATCCAGAAACACCTTGACCAGAGGATGTACTTCCTGTGCCAGCTCAGGAAGTTCAACCCGCCACAGGAGCTGCTTATCCATTTCATCACTGTGTGGTTTGGATCAGCCACCAAACAGGACAGGGACAGACAAAGGACCATCAGGACTGCACACAAAATATTTTGTGCCAGCCTGCCCTCCATTCTGGACTTACACACCAATAGATTCAGGAGACGGGCCGGTAACATCACTGCAGTCCCTTCATCACCCTAGACACAACCCGTTTAAATTTCTCCCTTCTAGGAGCTATAGGGCACTATAGGGCCTCCCGCATGCCGTCACTCTGATGGACAGTAAAGATCAGTTAAATTAATCTGCATCTTATATTTTATCGTTTACATATATACAGTTTTTTGTAACATGTACATATCACGACCAAATATAAACCTAAGCTTCTGTATTTACTGAATATACTGTAAACTGACATGCACATCCAACTATGTCATGTATATAAGCAACCTGTTGCATTAGTAATTAAAAATGAATTCCAGCATACTTGCACTCTGCACTACCGTCTTATTATCTTATACTATATCTATATTATATCTGATGGGACACAATTTAAAGCCGAGTGGTTCTATGTGATCACCACCACTAGATGTCTCTTCAGAGCCATCTTTTTAAATGATCCTCCAGGATGTAGTCAACAACACATTGCTGTACACTAAGATAATTTAAAAACATTCCAGCAGCAAGTACATATTGCATGAACAGTTTATCACGGCGTCTCAGCATCTCGATGAATAATTTATTTCTCTTGGGTTCGGATAAGCACATTACATGAGAACTGGATGCCAAAAGAGAACATTATGCCATAAAGTGTGATGCTCTTGTAACCGATTGTCTAAGGTTTGGTTACAATGAATTCCTGACTCCGGCTCCTCAAATCCAAAGGGACAATAACACCCAATCCTGTGAAGCTCCTTTGTCATGGGCATCGAGCTTTAAGCAGAATGAATCCTCGTTGTGCATCGACGGAGCATCCTCCTGTCAAAGCACATTTGCTGAAATATAAAGGCAAAACTCATGCCATATCCATGGAAGTATTTCAGCAAGACAGACTGAAAAAACATTGAATACAAAAATGTATTTCTTGTACATTTTCTCCTTTCTGTTCACATTCGTGTTGCCCTTCCTCACTGACTTTAGCTTCAGAATCGTATTGCTGCAGAGCTCTGTTATCATGTCTCTGTGTAAGGCATGTGCGTGTTGTCTAGCAGCTTCTACGTGTTCATTGTTCTCTGCTCTGTCACATGCTCCGCTATCACCTTCAATAGACTGAATTGAATGGAGACTGAGAGCAGGGTCCAGCTGCATGTATGAGGAGGGGGCGACGATTAGGGGATTCCAATCTCGGATGGTGTGATTGTGACTCCCGTGGGACACAAGGGTGAAATTGAGCATCTAATTGAAAGGGCAGGGACGAGGTGACAATCATGACTGTCGATGAGATGGTGTCTCTGCTGGGGGGCCCACAGGCCTGATGGGACGGCCGGCTCCCTGTGATGAGTCTGGAAAGTCCCATCATGTGTCAAAAATAAAAGCAGAGTCTCTGTCTCTGCCTGTGAATACCGGATGTTTCATCCCCTCGCTATGATTTGAAGACATTAAAGTGGCCTTGCTGTCATACATACTGTCACTTTGAGACATCACAGACCGTCGGCAGCTGGATTTAAACTATGATGATGATGATGATGATGATGAGATATTTAATTAGGTTCTTCCATACCGGTATCATTATCATTGTCCATGTACAATTTTAGTATTCCACATTAAATGTATGCACTGAAACTATGAAACTGTCCAATTAATACCCAGATCTCTGCTTTTCTATCATAAAATCATCCAAACTCTACACAAATTAACAACAAATCTACCTGGATGAACATAGAAAGTTTCAGCCAATCCACAAATCTAAGCAGCAAATGTAAATAAATAAATGACATTATAGAGAAAAGCTCACTGCCACAAGAGATAAATGTCAAGATCTGCATAAATAACACCCTCACACAGGGTTTAGCCTCATCACTCTCGATTCTAGAGTGCAATCAGTCTGAGAAATGTTAATCTATTCGACTTTCTGACATTTTGTCTACCAACTGTGCGTGTCTGCTCTCCCATAATATCCCATCTCATCCGGACTTCCCGTGTCACTATTCACTAACTAAACGTGACAATGGGGGTTGCTTCACTCTGTGATTCAAGAGTTTAAGTGTTGATTATGTCTTATCACCTTAGTTTGGAGGTGGGTGATCTCTGCCATGTTGGGATCATCCTCAAAGTCATGAAGAGGGGGTCTAAAGCATGAACACATTTAATAAAAGTAACTCATTGGTGAATTGAATCCAGGAAATTCTTTGTTTTCGCCTTACTAAAATATCATTCATAAAATGATCATAACGTGTAGTTGTCTTTCTTACCGTTTATGTGGATGATGGACTTGATAGGTGTGGTTTATGTCGGGTTTGTGGGCCTGTGTCGCCTCGGGCCTCTCAGCCAGTCTCTCCTGGTCTCGTTGGGCTGCTCTGTGCAGCTCAGGCTTCGCTCCCTTGAAAAGACAGCGGCCATTTGGTAGGATCTGTGCCAGGGCATCATGGGATGGGAGGTCGTATCCAACCTTCAGAAGATGAGGAAATATTGTCTTCATTGATAAAATGCATCTCCACAGTGGGCTAGAAACTGTCTTAGAAATAGCATCACTCTAATGCTCAGTTAGACCCTCTTTAACCACTACATTTGTTTTTCTAAATTGAATGAGAACAGTTTTCTAAGGAGTCTAATAGGGGGTGCGACCTCTGTGGGGTCTAATTGAACCCAAGAATAACTACAGGTAACACCAACGTTTTCAAATCTGCAACTCCAGTTTGTAGCCAAGGGAGCGGTTATCAACCTCCTTAGCATGACATTTTCCTATTTATTGGGTTTCAACTTGATTGATCTCTTGGACTCCAGACCTTGAGGCAGAAAAGCCAAATGTAATAGCATGCAATGATCAAATACACAACAGAAACCCCGTTCAAATGTTGGCCGTTAGTTGTCCAAGCAAAATGCTGAATAGTCATCCATAACAATGTTGGAGGTCTACCGTACATCTGCAATGTCAACATTAAATCCACCAGTTGCGTTTTTACAGAAAAGCTTTTATCCCAAAAACATTGTAGCTACTGTATGACCTCTCAGTACTCTCTGTGCTTGTGTGTGGCCTGTTGTACCTCTTCATCTCCTGAATATAAAGGCCGTTACATCACTATGCATACAGTACCCACTCTATAACAAGAGAGCTCTCAGTCAGTAGCCCTGAAGTCCTTCAAGTATGAGCCTTGCATATACAATGCACACTTAATGACCGTGGTTGCTAGGTAGCACACATTGAAAGAATTGACATGAGATAGTCGTTATTATCCATTATTCTCCTACAGGCTCTCCCTCCGACACACATACCTCCGCACTATCAGAGACTACCTTTACAGATTCACGGTTGCCAGTGGATATTGTCTTCTTCAAGGCCTTCATCCAACAGAAATCCAACAGAGTCCTTAACAGAAGAGCGAACAAGCAACTGACGGTGGATGTAAAAGTTGAAGCTCCGTCATTAAGTCAGAACAATGAACCTGTAACCACAACACAAGCTTCAGCAACTCTCGAGCCGACATTCCTGCTCCACTGTAGTGCCATGTTTCATATTCAACAGAGCTCAAAGCCAAACAATGGTACACAATCTATTATTTGGTGTTTGGTAAATACCTCTTTTGCAGTGGTGGAAAGTAACTCACTGCTGTACATTCACGCAATTACTGTACTACTGTACAATCTGCACAATAATACTTTTAATTTTTGTACTTTAAGTATATTTTGATGCTAAAACTTTTTACCTAAATCAAATTCTGAATGAAGGACTTTTAATGGTAACAGAGTATTTTGCACTATTGTATTGTTACTTTGACTTGAATAAAACATTTCTGCCACCATTGTACTTCTCTATTTAACAATATGAAAACAAAATCAAACCTTATCTTTATACCTGTAGGCAGTGTGTAACATTCAATGGACTCAACGGGGGGGTTCTGCTCAGTAAATAGTCTGTCCTAGCCTAAATAAGATGGACGAGGACTGAATAATGATTTCTAAGTGATTGCTGTGCAGCACCTGTAGCTCCCTCTGAGCATTTATTCACAGCTTCACTCAACTCAGTGAGAGTCTGTTGTCAAATCACCAATACTGAGCAAAATAAATATTTCCAACTGTAAAAATGATTAAAGACATGCAATGAAATTAGGGTGGATTTCCAAAATTTGAACTTTTCAGAAAAAGTTACTTACGTGTGTACAACATGATTATATGCAAATGTGGAACCTTCAATAGCAGGGATCAATAACTCTCCTGCTTGGGAGCTCATTAGGCTGAGATAGACGTTCATTGATGGAACCAGATCTGATTGAGACTAAATGATAAAAGAGGGGGCAGGAAGAAAGATTCATTAATTATATATAATACTGTGCCTGACACTCACTTTATCTCCATATATACTTGATCAGCATCACCTGGAAACAATGTAAAAAACATGCTGAATACATATGAAGACAGTGAACTTTAACCCTCATCCTACCAACATATCTAATATACAAGGACTAACAACCGGGCAGAACTGGACAGCGACAATGTGTAGTAGCCAAACCCAGTTTACAGAGTTCAATTTAATACTAACAACCACATGCATGAATATCTCAGTTACAGCTTTGCATATAAAGAGCCCACTATGTTCAGTTTTTAGATAAATATTTTCATAACCGAGTGCTTTAATTCATGATAAATAATTCACTGGATGCTTGCAGCTATGTGCTCTGCTAGAAAACATAAACTCTTCTAATCCAACATGGGGAAACCTGTACTGTACAAGTGAAAACACTTCCCGCAGAGTCTAATATCACATTAACATGTGAGATTGCCCGACAAATTTACAAAATACTTGATATCCACATTTTGTGCTTTGCAGTCACTGCTCGTGTTCAGAATGCCGCCGACTGTGTTACATATTATCTGTGGGGGAGCTTGGGAGTGGGCTGTGTGTCCCCATGCAGGATATGCGGGGTGGGGAGGTGGGGGTCTTAGTGTGTGTCTGTGGTCCGGGTCTTTGGTAACATCATCAGAATTCAGCACACAGCCTGAAAAATGCAGCAAATGGGCTCTTCATTGGAGTGACAGCTCAGAGCCGGCTGCCACACAGAGCTTCAATTAGCCTGCCAGAGCAAGGCGGCTCTCCCAGGAGCTTTCTATACCTCCACATATTCCACCTTTCCCGTCCACCATCTTTTATTTTTTTCCTTTCAATCCTTCATCTGACCCAAAATTCACTCTTTTCCAGCATTTGACCTCAGCATCCTCCCCGTCCTTCCCTCCTATAAAAGCACCACCCTCCTCAACCGTCCCATGATGCCATCCACATGACAAGCCGAGCAGAAATACTAGCGTGCTAAAACACACTCAAGTAAAAGAGGTGTTGGAGAACTGAAGCAGAAAGGAGAAAAAAAAACCCAGAAATGAGGATGTAGTGGTTTACACAGCTGGTCTCTGGTCTTCACAGGAATCCCGCACAGCAGTGAAGTGGTTCCTCTTTTTAGTGTGTGTTGCAACAGTGGAGATCTTACTCAAGAAATCATGTGATTAAAAGAGAGAAGCAAGAGTTGCATAGTTTGACTTTTGTTTTCCGAGAAGTAATTTCTCACTGCTCACAAATATTCTAGATCCTAGTGATACACTCTGTGTGTGGTTGCAGATGGAGATGCGATTCCAAATGGACAGGATGTGCTGGGAACATTTTAAAAAGCCTCATTAATATTGATATCCAGTAGAGACATTGGTAATATAGCATAAGATAATAACCACAACTTGTACACATTTCATAGTTATATTATGATTATAACAAACATGCAAAGATGAACAAAATGCATGATTCTGTTTTACAATTTACACCCCAAACATTAAAAGTCCTCATTCATTGTAGCACTGAATTATATCTGGGAACATTCCCATTCAAATTCAGTCAAATTGGTAATTTATCAGCATTTAGGCTTTACATGCAATACGATTAAATTATGCTAAATTTAATTTCAACTAATTGTTGTTTCAGCCAGCTGCGACAAAATGTGTCACCAAACATTCTATTACTCAATAGAACGCTTGCCCCTGAGAAAATGACATTTTGCTCTGCATGTAATCATATCTGTGCCCCGTCAGCAAAATAAAATCACATCTGCCCTGAGACTTTATGCGAGTATAAAAGGTTTATAAAATATTGCACTAGAGAGAGAGTGACAGAGTGAGAGGAGGGATGGAGAGAGGGGTGTATGTCCAAGGGCAACACGCTGCTTTGACTCAAGGACGTGTGGGGCTGGCAGCCAAGCACTCTCCTTATGGGGTCCACAGTGAGACCAGAGCCAAGGATTTTCAGTTAATCAACATCTGTCAATTACAGTTATGCCGTCGTGAAACCACAGTGCTCCATAAACAAACAGGGCGAGCACGTAAAAGCAGGGTCGGCCCTGAACGCAATGAATAGTGCGGGTGAATGAGTGCAAACAGCTCAGTAATAACAGTAAGGTGGTGAAAAGAAAGATAACATATCACCTCCAGATTTTAACAAACTACACGTTGACACCTCAAATTGTTGAAAGTATCTAGTATTACTGAATTGTTTAAACGTCTTTACTGGATCACACTAACTGGTAATATCTGCTTATACACTGAACTTGCACGATGAAGCGCTCCCCTTAATTCTCACCAGAAGCAAAGAGGAGCTCAAGTATCGCCGGATATAAAATGTGAATTTAACTGACTTTTGCTTCTGGCTGGTAGCACCCTGAAGGATTCCAAGAGACTTACTATAAAGGCAATGAGTAGAGATAATTCCTCCCCTTGTTTCACCCCCAGTATCACGTCTACCTACAGTTAATCGGTCAAACATAATCTCTCCTTGAGGCTTTAGTGTAGAATAAAGAGCACAAGGGTCCTTTACTGTCCCTTTACATTTCCAATCAAAGCCATAACTGCAGCATATAATCATGAAAGAAGAACTAGACATAATGTTGCAAGACTACAGAATCGAAGGCTTCCTCTAGGTGTTAACGAGTATTTACAGTTAAGATTTTGACATTGTAATTAGTCAGTGGTGAAGGAGGTACAATACTACAATGTAAAAATACTCCATTACAAGTAAAAGGCTGGCATTTAAAATCCTATTTAAGTTAAGTACAGAAGTATTATCAGCTAAATTCACTTATTACAAGTAAACA